GCAGCGTCTGAATGGCGATCTGCCGTCGAATCCTGCCGTGGCCGACAGGTTGGGGTTGTGGGGGTTGAAGCGGGTGAGGAACGTCCAGTTGGTAACCTCGGGGAACTCGCCGTAGCGCTCCCCGGTCTGAGGGTTCCAGATCAGAGTCCTGTTGTCCTTGCCGCTGGAGATCAACAGGTCACCGTCTTGCTGGCACCACGACAGCGACAGCACGCCTTGGTCGTGACCCTGCAGCGACCTCTCGGGCGCGTTGGAGTTCCTCAGATCCCACAGAAGGATAAGGGGGGCTGAGTCGTCAGGAGTCGCCGTCAGGAGCTTCGTCGAATTGTTGGGGTCCCATGCGATGGCGCTGACAGCCTTGCGGTTGTTGTTCAATGTCAAGCTGGCCTTCTTGGTCTTCAGGTCCCAGACGGTGACAAAGCCACCAGATCCACCGGTAGCGAGAATGTGCGAGACCTTCCTGTTCCATGCGACGCACTCGAGGTCGTCGGACCGAGCCGCAGCGGTGCCAAGGCGGAAGGGGTTTTCGATGTCATTGACGTCGTAGACGAAGAGCTCGCCCTTTGCGCCTGCAGTCGCGAGAATTTGAGGTCGCAGGGGGTTGAACTGCAGAGATTTGATGGCGCCGGTGTGCTTCGTGGTCCTCGAGATGAAGGCATCCTCGGCGCCGGCGATGAGCTTCTCGGCATCCCACAAATCGAGGGATCCATTCTCGAGAGCTCCAGCAATGATGCCACGGGGATGGTCCTCGTCGGCTGGGCCCCAGGCAATGTCGTAAAACCTGTAGACATCAATGTCAGCAACGAGGCCAGTGTTGGCACGGCGGAGCAGATGAAGCTCACCTCGAGTCGGTACTGATACTGGCAACAGGTTGAAGCTCGAGTCCCTGGTCTTGGTCGTCTAGGTTGAGGTCCCAAAGCTCAAGCTTGGTCTCATCGGAGAAGTCATCGGAAACTGCGCCGGCACGGGTACCGCTGACGACAAGAGGCTTCTCCGAACCAGGCGACCAAGCGAAGGCCGCGGTCCTGGGAATCTCTCGGAGGCGAACCATGGTGGGAGGTGCTCAGCCCTCAGAGACGGGCGTGCAAGATGACGTGGCGGGGAATAGGGAGGTCGGTGAGAGTCACGCTCGATCGAGTGTTGGCATTGACGGTGGTGAAAGGGTGGATATAATGTCCTAAGGAAAGCACCGCACCGATATAGCAGGCTGGAAAAGTTGGAGGCCCTTGTGCAACTGTGACCGTGGTCAGGTATGATGCCAGATTGCAGCCCACAGCATCAAGCAGTGCAGGGACGAGCTCCCTGACTTTGGCCCCCCTTCGAGCCCCCTAGCCGGGTTGGGGACGTGCACGCCGCCTAGGCTTCTAGCCCCCCAAGCCCCCCCACCAAGCAAGGCCGAATGCTTTGCCGTTGAGAGCACTGAGCTGCTGCTGTACTGTAGCGTCCAAGCTTTCTGGCCAAGATCACGTGTATCGGATGGTCTTCTTAGTCACCCGGCGCAACGGAGCGTCCCGCCAGAGCGCAGCGCAGAGCTCAGGCGCCATTGAGACTCAAACTCATGCTGTTCGTTGCTGTCGTCGTCGGTGAAGCACTCAGGTACAAGTTTCGACCCAGACCAACACGCCCAACATAGCTCACACCATCATGACCGACGCTGCGCGCTGGAAGTCAACCGTTCATGTTGGTGGTCTGGCCGCCATGGTCACGGCCGCCAACATCCAGGATGCGTTCATCCCCTTTGGCGAAATCGCAGACGTCTCACTGCCGAAAAATGACAAGCCCAACGCAACAGAGTCTCACCGCGGTTTCGCATACGTCGAGTACGAAGACGTTGACGACGCAAAGGAGGCCATCGACAACATGGATCAGTCTGAATTTTTTGGTCGCATCATCAGCGTCTCTGCGGCCAAGGTTCCCAAGAGCGCTGAGGAGGGGTTGGGCAGTAAGAAGGCCGTCTGGGAACAGGTACGGCGCATCCCACTCGACGCTCTTTGCACGCAGCGCTAACATTGGTATAGGAAGGGTGGCTCGCTGAAAATGCAGTCGGAGAGGAGGACAGAATGGCATCGGAACAGGTCGCGATACAGTCGGAAGCACGAGGACCAGACCCTATGCAGGGACTCGAGGGTCTCGATGTGGCGGGACCGAGGCCCGAGTAAAAGCAGACAGGTGGATGGTTGCAGTCGGTTACGGGAGTATTCTTTGCATAGCGATGGCGTTCTACAGGTACGAGGAGCACTCTCTGCACGTCATGCGTGGTGCGAGAGTCCTGCAAGAGGACAAATAAAAATGCAATGTTTTCGACCCAGTCTGGTTTTGTCTTGGCTGCTCGCTCGACATATACATTGTGTCGTCACTGTAGTAGCACACGGACACCAAGTCCATTCCTCGTTTCCCACCCAGACCTCCGATATCCTGATTTAGTGGGACTCCTCGCCATGGCTGTCGCTGTGCTTGGGGCCCTGGCGCTTAAGGCGGATGGTGCCATCAACCATGAAGTGGCGGATGCTGGAGTAGCCGGCAGCGAAAACGGCGAAGCCGACGACGACACCTGCGCAGCCTTGTTAGTAGCTCTCATGCCCCGGTATCCGAGGGATCAGTCCTTACCGAGGGGGATCAACTCGGGAGGGATCCTCCTGAGCTTGCGGAGCCTCTGCGAGACGGTGTGGCCTGTCCAGAGCACGTTAGCATGCCGAAAACACGTCCCACAGACGCCTCTTGTTCCGATCAACCAGCCAAAAGCTGCCGTCGGTGTCAATGGCATCGCAAAAATTTCGACATACCGGCTTGGTCCTCGCCCTGCGTGTCACGTCATTGTCAGCTGATTGAACTCAAACCACGTCGAGAGCGCGCGCGGCGAACGAGGAAGAACTCACAGGGACGGGCGACCTCATGCGGAGGGTCGGGCGGAAAGCCCGGAGAGCGAGAGTAGGACGCATCTTGACGTTTGAGGTGACAAGGAGCGACTTTGTGGTGGAGGTTTGGTGATGGGAACTGGATTGAAGTTGGGTGTCGGGGATTCGGCTCTTCGCTGAGTGGTGGCTTCAGTCCTGAACTTGGGAGTGGAGCGTCTGGCCGGACGAAGGCGCCGACCCGCCAAACTTTGCCTGAGGCACCAGCCGGTTCCTACCGTCACCACCTGATTCTCGTCCAACGACAATCTTCGATGCGCCCGTAACCAAGAGCAATCCCTCCGCCGCTGCACGCCTTCACCTCGCCCAAACAACCCAACACCTAGTCAATTGCCCTCAGCAAACCGCAAAAATGTCTGACGATCAGGAGCTCGTTACCAAGCCCTTCAAGTTCGTGACTGGTACGTCCGGAAATCCCTCTCCTAAGCAATGGCCTGATCATCCGAGGCTAACGTGATGCTCATTACAGCTGGTACGAAGTTCCCCGTCCCGACGCCGTTCACGACTGCGAGACAATCGAAAGTCCCGTGGAGCACTTGGCAAGTTGTGATGATGTTGCTGACACCGACTTGCGATTTATAGGCACCGACGCCCGCTTCCCGAACATGAACCAGACCAAGCACTGCTGGCAAAACTACGTCGACTACCACAAGTGCATCAACGCCAAGGGCGAGCACTTCGCTCCCTGCCGCCAGGTACGAGGGACGACTGCGACGGGATCAGTGGGACAAGGATATTAACAGCGCCTAGTTCTGGCTCGCCTACCGATCTCTGTGCCCCTCCGGCTGGTACACTCGCTGGGACGAGCAGCGCGGTACGATGACTCTCACTCACAACAGTACACACTTGCTAACTCAATTCGCGTTCAGAGGCTGGCTCGTTCCCCGTCAAGCTCGACGCGTAAGACATTGGAAATTCGAGGCTTTGCACGGGCTAGATGTTGGAGGATGGGGCGCTTGTACTACTTACCCTGAGGGCGAGATATCAATAGAGCACCAGGAGTTGAATTGCGCAGTGAAGTTTGCAGAAGAGAACCACTCAATCTTCTTCTGTGTGAAGTGAAATGCATGTCCGCTGACTAGGTATTATCTTCAAGCTCATTACGCCCGGAAACTCCGAGCAGCCCATTCTCAAAATCGCTAACCAATCCCGCTGCGCCGTTTACTCATCAGGCCAAGATGTCGATTGGGACATCTCACTTCTTGGATTCTTCCTCGTCGTCGGAGCTCATGAAGTCGTCGTCTTCGTCGAACCCAAAAAAGGCCCGGGGCTTCTCCTTCTCCTTGCCTTTGGATGTTGTTGTCGGCTCCGTCGGAGGCGTGGACTCCTTGGAGGACTCTTCACCTGAGTCTTCTTCCCCCGCGTCTGACATGGATTCGTCGGCTTGAGCAGACGACTTGGAGCCAAAGGATGTCCCCGCCAGATTATCTGTGTACTTGCCGGCCTTCATGGCAGCAAGAACGGCGTCCCGTGTCCTCTCATTCGCCTCTTCCTTGGCCTCAACCCATGCACCGTCCAGACGGCCCTTACCGCCATTCTTGATCTCTTCCTCCCGTCGCTCGGACGATTCCACAATTTGCTGCCACCTTTCGCGCCTCTTCTCCTTCTCCTTCTTCTCCATCTCAGGCTTGATCGCCAGGTACTCGGCGAGTGCCTTGGCTTCCGTCACGGTCCGTAGCCGACGGCCGTCGAGGTTGCGGCTTGAGTTGTTCGCATCGCCCTGGTTGCGCTTCTTCTTGGAGGACATGCGCCCACCGGCGGCGCGAAGCTGGGAGCCGAAACCACCCTTGCCGCCGCAGAGGGGAACGGACAGGCGCAGGGAGATGAAATCATCTTCGACTGACGACAGGAGATCTGACAGTGGGCGGGCCGAAGTCGCGGGCAATTCCTTGTTGGAGATGGTCGTGAGGATCAGCCTGCTGCCCGACTCGGGCAGTCGTGCATCGATCTGTTCCCGCACATCGGAGAAGGTGGTGGTGACGGGGACAGGTAAAACAAGTGTCGAGGGTAGGCCTAGACCAGGAAACGTGCTGACGAACACGTTGATGTTCCGGGGAGCCATTTCAGTCGATGTTCCAGTCGATGCCTGGTGCTGAGAAGAATTGACCGATTGATGTGCCGATAGAATCCTCTTGAATGTAGCCGAAGTCGTGGCGACAGTTGATGCCGAATCGCGATGTCAAGTAATTCTGGTGACGGGTAGAGCTGGTTGAACGTTCACAGGCACAACTCAAAGAGGTTTAAAATTGAGAAGGACGTCGATTTCGCTTCCTCGGCACCGCGGCGTCTGAATCTTGTCGTCGACAGAAGGTATCGTGTTGGATTGCAGGCAGACTTGGGGGCAAATGCATGGCGTTGACATTGTAGTCTCTAGGCGCCCATCGAACAGTTCATGCTTATCTTATCATGTGACAGATCACATGACCGGTGCGCCACAATCCGTCGCCTCAACTTCGGTTGTGGCCAAGCCACGAAGCCAGAGCCTGCGCACCTGATTGTTCTGACGGGTTCCCCACTTCGCTACCTAGCCCAGGGTTTCCGTTTCCGCCCACACAAAAGTTATCCATTTCGACGACTTGGATCTCGCAAGCCTCCGCGACCTCGCCTTTCACGATTCACCCTCTCCCCAACGTCGAGACGATCAACAACCGCCACGATGTTGATGCCCAAGGCTGACCGCAAGAAGATCCACGAGGTTAGCAGAACCACCAGAGCACCGCACCCGACATCAGTCCTCCCCCTCGCTGCCGACTCGATTCGCCATGTTCGAGAAAGTTTCGGGGGGGTGAGCGATTGACGACGATGGCGGGAAGACCAAACGCTTCGCACAAAAGGCCGTAGACTAACCCGTGTTTTTTTCTTCGTCGCAATAGTACCTCTTCCGAGAGGGTGTCCTCGTCGCCGCGAAGGACTTCAACCTCCCCAAGCACCCCGACATTGACACGAAGAACCTTTTCGTCATCAAGGCTCTCCAGTCGCTCAACTCGCGCGGCTACGTCAAGACGCAGTTCAGCTGGCAATACTACTACTACACCCTCACCCCCGAGGGTCTCGACTATCTGCGCGAATGGCTCCACCTGCCCGCTGAGATTGTTCCCGCCACCCACATCAAGCAGCAGCGGTCCCACGCTCCCCCCCGCGGCATGCTCGGCGAGGGCGAGCGCGAGCGCAAGCCGTTCGGCGGCCGTGGCCGTGGTGGTGACCGGGGTGACCGTGAGGGTGGCTACCGCCGCCGGGAGGCTGGTGGTGAGGGCAAGGAGGGTGGTGCGCCTGCCGGCTTCGAGCCGCAGTTGTAAGCTCCGCCAAACCCCCCCCTTTTCGACGCGAAAAAAAAGAAAAGCGACGACAGAGAGAGAGAGAGAGACAGACCCGCTAACACTTTTGCAGCCGTGGTGGCTACGGCCGTGGCCGTGGTGCCGCTCCCCCCTCGTAAACGGAGAGGGTCCTTTCCTAACGACTTTCACTCGCGAGACGCACATGGCGAAAAAAATAGGGCACCGACATGTATTCTGAAAAGTGGAGGGCCGGAATGATCGCGCGTCGGGTTCACGTCATACAGACTACGGGGGAAACATCGTAGGGAGTTTGGAGGATAGATCCTCGGACATTGCGGTTGCATTAACGGACACGTTCTCGTACGCAGATGCTGTGCTGTTTGCCGATCTTCGTCTGTGATTCGTGTGAGGTGTGCATTGTGACGAGATGCGGATGCGATGTATATGATATTCAGCGAAATGCAGATGATGTCAATTGAATGGCAAAAGAGTGCTCACAAGTAAGCTGCAAGTGGGACGACGGCAGCCCTGAGACACGAGGGCCATTTCTTTCACTCGACGGCCTGCGCTGCTAACCATGACCACGACCACAACTCACTCAGCTCTCCCACCAGTGTCAATTGACCCTCACCTGCGGACGGCCTGTCATGGACTGTAGTCAACGCCCACCCCCTCCACACCAAGATTCCAACGCGGCGTACTAGCATATCAGGAGTCGGCCGTGCATATGCCCAAAAAGCGGTGACACTGCCAAGCAGGTAGTTGGTCGTTCAACGGATGCGAGGTGAGGTGCACGATGGACAGGGGCGCTACAGGTCTACAGGTCGGTGGTCCGCGTAGCATGGAAAGCTGAGGAGCTCCCCGCCAACGCTGCGACAAGGTGCCCATGGGGTGCAGAGCCGAAGGGCGATGCACTGCTCCGTGAGGTGGCAGGCGACGACATGGCACAGCTTTCCTTCGCAGGCTGGTGGTGCGAAGGTGTCGTCAATACGATCAGGAATGCGGGGAGGCCCAGACTAGGTGCCCGACGAGACGAGCATCCTCTTTGGTTTCACTGGCCCTCGCATCTGGCACCTAAGCTCAGGCGACGAGGGGCCGGACAAGACACATGCAAGAAGCCATCCCAAGTTCCCAACACACCTGGACAATCGGGACCGAGATGCAGGGCACATCTTTCACGGCCTGCTGCCAGCGTATGTCTCAGCACCCCACGTTCAAGTCCCCCTCGAAGTCCCCCTCGACATCTTCATCTGGACCCGAGGAGTTGCATTGGGCCAATGGTCCCTACCCTGCCTCGCGTCAGCTCAACCGACCGACGCCAGACATCCAGGCCTCAACACATGCATGCTTCTTCGTGTAGGTAGGTTACACTGCCCACCATCCGACGGTGGGGCGGCATGTCCGACGGGATGTGGTGCATGAGGGAAGCTATACTGTGGAGATTTGACGGCCGCGAACGACGCATAATGTGAGCAGTGGGCATGTCGTTTGTGACTCTGGATCTCGATTCTAGCACAGTTCACCACTAGGCCGCCTCCCGCGTCCCACCATAGAGTAGCCCGAGATAAGACTCGTCGGTGGTGCTGAAGCGGCACCAACGACGCCTAGATTCCGAGGGTGGTGGATCCGGGCCCCTCGTCCATCGGTATTATTAATTCGTTGCTCCGTTGCTCCATGGCAGCCAAATGCAGTTTCGCGACCTGGCCATCACCTGAACATGCATAGTCTTGCAATGGAACCGCTTTGAACGGTCAGTTCGAGGTTGGCTCGTCGATGGGGCGTCGAGCAGGTGAAGTCGTTTCAAATTTGAGCTCAACCGCCAACAAAGTTAGCTGAATTGATGGGCCTTCGCCTGTCCACACTCCCCTATCCGGCATGGTCTTTCGACATTTTACTCGACGAACGCCACGGATTTCCCTAACACTCTGTATGATGTGTTTCTGAGAGGGACCAAATCAGGGAGGCATTAAACTGGCAAGTTCGTGAACTTGGTAGGTGTTGGTTGCTATTTGATGCTTTTATTGTAGTCGCTCTGCATTCTGTCTTCTCTAAAGCACCCAAGTGTAACAAGTTATAGTCCTTACATCAAGAAGTGCTTTCACAGGCGACACAACCAAGTCGGACAAGCCCTCGAGACTGTCTTTGTCATTCAATTATTGTGTCATTTCCCTCATGAAATCGCGTGGCAAGGCATCGGGTACTTCATTCTGAATCTCATTCTGAATCCCTGGGTTTCAGACCCATTGTTCGTGATGTGATGGCATGTGGTGGGGTGACTTATCGAGCGAGGAGAGACTTTCTTGACTCTCGACGACATAAGTCACACTATTGAGGCCCAACAGTCAAAGTCGGGCTCAGAAGTCTTTATCAGCGCGTCACGGTTTCAGAGGTGCTGCAGGCGCAGACTCATAGCGTGTAGCGTCGCCGCCTGGCCATCGCACGTTGAGATTCTCCTTTGCGTCCTATCCTGTTGCTCCTCGTTCCTCTCCATCAGCACCACGAGAACATCACTACATGGCCAGACGATCATCATCATCATCTGTGTTGCTACCTACCTCTCAACGAGCTTCACGTTTTGTTGGCCACCCCGCGGCCCGCGCCCCCTCGTCTCTCTTCCGTTCTCCCCCTTCCAAGAGTCAGAGCTCGTCGATCAACGCAACGCCCGCTGACAGGGAGGCGGTCATACTCCAATCCCGTACATGCGACCTGCGCCAGGCGAGCCTGAACTGCCTTTCCC